CCCTTGTGAGTGATAAGCGAGGTGTAGATCAAACCAAACTCTGGGGATTCCTAGAGAAGGTTTAGGAGTATAAGTATAGTATATATGGGTATATGCAGGTAGGTAGATAGATATCCTGAATTTCCTTCTACTACTCTACAAAAAAGTATGCCGCTACGGTTCGGTACAGTAATGATCTTGTTGTTGATCTTTTCGGTATATAGAGTAGCATACTCTACTGGTGTTGAAGTTGGAGTACAGTACCGAGGTGCATACTGTGATAACCGTGATAATCGCCATGATAGACGATTGAAAAGGAGAGAGGAAATGGATTCTACTCCGGGAAAGAGCGTCCTCGATACTCAATATTGATATATTATATTGTCACGGAACGACGTATAACAATGGTGCGATTTTCGTTCTGGTTGCAAATATCTATCAAAGAGCAACACATTTCTTTCTGAAATACTCGAGTAGGTTTTGGGTGTTGTTTGAAAAAGTATCCAGAAACGTGGTAGGGAATTTTCAAAATTTTCATGAACATGTTTGTGAGGGGAACACAAAATATTCTGGGCCACCTAGATTCTTCATATACAGTTGTAAGTGTAATGAGAGGTATGGAAATTATGGTATATTGAAAGTCATGGACCTCCTTGTTTTTTTTGTATGCTGACTGAATGCGAGAAACGCAGCAAACGGAGAGTCAGCAGCATCAGTGGTGCTTGCGAGACTTCCTAAATTATTAAATACATCAACCGCTTGGTCTGTATACAATACATTCGAAGGGTCTAGGTGTGGGTTTTGTAGGATTAAACGATGGTGGAGAACTCCGACGAACTATGTGCTCCATGCTCCATAGTAGACCTTGTTTTCCCTCTGTTCTCTTCAGCAATCTCATCTTTTTTCAATAAGAATTAAGACTGAAGTAGAATATAGACTCTATTATTAAGCTATATAACATAGTTAGCACTATAATAACATTATTGTATATCTAATATAGTAGTAGTAGTAGTAAATGTATAACCGATCTGATTTATAAATAGCTGATATTATATAGACTACATAATAAGGCTATAATTATATCAAACCAAGGAGTCAAGGTCCCGAAAGATAGTTCGACATACTCTTCGAAGGAAGATGAGTAAGGCCATTTCAAGCAATGGAGCCTATCAATCGAAAGACAGAGCTGATTGATTGTTTGATTTCTCTCATGGAAGAGCCAAGCCTAGCAAATGAAAGAGAGTTTGCAAAAATTGACTTCAATTTCTGCAGATACTGCGCTCGCCCTCACTTCAGAAACTTCTTATTTCTCCATTAACATACTCCCCATGGTCATTGACCCACGAAAGCTGATAAAAATCGGAGAACTGTCTCCTTACGAGTACACCAAAATACCTTTCGTCTTCGTTTTCGACTCCCGAGTACCTCTGATATCAAACCATCCTGGGACTTAGACTCATTATGTTTCATTCATCATGTCGTCTTGAGCTAGAAGATGCACATGGTAATATCCATACACCTTATTATCTCTATTGGCATGATCACTGATCACGTTTTAGACTCGATTTTCCGCAAATATTGCGCGGGGTGCTCAATCTCTTCGAATTTGAGTTCGATATCATATTCCTTTTATTTAGTGTTATATTTTAGTAGTAAATCGGAGCGGTAGGGGGAGAGACTCGAATGGTAAGGACATTCGGTATATTTTGTTCGTCTAAATAATATACTTGAGTGAAAGCGATTCCGGTTGTGAGTTCGGTTATATGTATTGGATTATAAGTACGGATGAGATCATGACGTGAGAATTAGAGAGAACTCGGAAATGTTTGAAGTTAGGGGCGTTACATATGTCACGGCAAATCTTGTTACGCAACATAAATATCATGAGGATTCATTGACTGGCACTATCTAATTTAGTTAACCTAACACGTGTCAAGGAAATAATCGAGATTCACTTGGATTTGAGTATAGTGATCCTATCACCCCAAGCAAACTTCTTTGGGCCTAACTAGCACATTACCTTACATAAAGTAAAGCCTTAGTTAGGCCCAAAATGTATAAAATAATATAATTAAAAAAAAAACAATTCGCTAAAAAGAAACTATATATAATCAAAGATAAAGCATATTTGTTATATTATTCTTGGACTTCTTAATATTTTTTTATTAAGTTTTCATTTATAAAA